GCGTAATGTATGCGTGCCTGCGCGTGTAATGCGTGCGTACCTGTGCGCGTACCTGCGCGTGTAATGCGTGTGTAATGCATGCGTACCTGCGCGTGTAATCCGTGCGTACCTGTGCGCGTACCTGCGCGTGTAATGCGTGTGTAATGTATGCGTGCCTGCGCGTGTAATGCGTGCGTACCTGCGCGTGTAATGCGTGTGTAATGCATGCGTACCTGCGCGTGTAATGCGTGCGTACCTGTGCGCGTACCTGCGCGTGTAATGCGTGTGTAATGTATGCGTACCTGCGCGTGTAATGCGTGCGTACCTGTGCGCGTACCTGCGCGTGTAATGCGTGTGTAATGCATGCGTACCTGCGTGTGTAATGCGTGCGTACCTGTGCGGTGCCGTCGTATGAGACGGAGGCGAGTCGGCCGGGGACGTGAGGACTCCATGCCAGCGACGTGATGCGAGTCGCGTGACCCGCCAGCTGACGGTAACACTCCGTGATCGTCCGCGCAGCCACGATGGCGCCCTCTGTCTCCGTCTCGGCCGTCCCTACGCAAACAAGTAAGCGTCTCTAAGAAAAGATCCCATTCTTTTCTTCTTAAGGGAACAGTCCCACTCCCAAAGAACTCCTATAACAGCTAATCCTAACTATTAATGCTCCCACTATCCACTGTATACGCCATCTTTTTCGGGTGCAGATATTTTCGCGAATTCACACTTCACAGACAATTTCGCGGGTGGTTAATTTCGCGGTCGGTAAATTATGAATTATTTGGTATGAATTATTCGCGTGTTGTTAATTTCGTGGTTGGGGACGCGTTCGCGAAATTCGCGAAAATTAAACCACCGCAAAATATACAGCGTATACATTAATTTATTACTAACTTATCGAACACTAACCATAAACGACTACCGAATATTCGCTAACCGCGTGTGATAACCACCCGACGACCACCGCAAACAAGTGAGCGTCTCTAAGAAAAGATCCCATTCTTTTCTTCATAAGGGAACAGTCCCACCCCTAAAGAACTCCTATAACAGTTAATCGCAACTAATAACGCTCCCACCACCTAATCCATTACTAACTTATCGATAACCACAAAAGACTACCGACAGGCAATTCGCTACCCACGTGTGATAACCGCCCGACGACCACCGCTCGTTCCTACCTATCAGCTCCGTGAGATCGTAGACGACGACATTCGACTCGTTCGACCCTGACGCGAGCCAACATGCTAGTGGCGCCACCTCGTCGGAGGCGTGGGTGAACTGCGGGTGCCAGCAGAGGCAGTTGATGAGTTTTCGGTGGACCTGCAGAGTGCAGACGAGCTGCAGAGCGGTCGGCCGGAACAGCTGTACCGACCTGCGTGCGGAACAACAACGTTGCTGGTTAGTCGTTGTACTTGTACGCAACACACGTGTTAACACGTTTAATTACCATGTGTTGATCACGCACGCACGCACGCACGCACGCACGCACATATAGACACAGAAATATATGTCCACTTTTTTAAATTAATCATTTTCACAACGCTACAGAGATTCGACTATTCATTTAAAATGTTCGCCAAGCGGTTTTCGTTCTTACCCGTCGTCGTTGCCCACGGCAACCATGGAGAAGTCTGGCTTCCATGCGAGATCTGTCCTCATAGGCAGCTTGTGCTAAAGCAAGAAAACCGAACATGAAAATCACGAAAACTCGCCCCTACTCTCTCTCTCATTATCGCTCTCTCGCTCGCTCTCTCTCTCTCTCGCTCACTCTCTCTCTCACTCACTCACTCGCTCGCTCTCTCACCCACTCACTCTC